AGCACTGTGTCCTCTGATTATCTGCTGTCTAAACCAGATATCTAGTCTGTCTTTATAGTAGTTAGACTATAATATGCCTCCACTGATTAAAAAAAGATGGAGCTTAAGACAAAGATGGAGCTTAATACAGATGGTGTTAATTGTCCTCCAGAGATGTTTACTTTTCTCCATTAATTATTTGAGAGAACCTAGACAACAAGGTAGGACAAAGAAATAAAAATACCTTTCAAGAAGAAAGTAGATCTAAATGTCTTCAATGGCTTTTAAATAGTTCTAGCCTGCTCTTATTAACGGTAATGGCAACATTTCTACAGACTTATACAGAAGGTGAGCAGGTTACTCAAAACTTTCTGACTCAGGAGTATCGCTGTATTGCTGTTTTTAACAAATTTACTTTATTTTACAAGATTTGGTACAATATCAGAAAAATGTCCCAACCCAAAGTATCTTTATCAAAAGTAATTTTTTTTAATGTACTTTTTCCTGATACTGAAATCAGTATTGTTTTCAGGGATCATAAAGTATCCTGAGCTCACTGCAGCTAATCTCATTTTTTAGTTTTTACCATTTGTTTTAATGGATATCTTGTCCTGACAACACTTAGGTTTTATTTTGATTTACAGTAACATTACCAACAGAAACCAACAATCTTTCCAACCTATTTTATGTATTCTTTTTTCCCATTATGCCTCCACTGGGCCTCTTCCACCACATTTTCCTTTACAGAAATGCTACTATTCGCTCCCTGCTTTGTTCCAAGCTATCACCGCGGACATTCGTTACTGGGTATATAATTTTATGCTTGAAGCTCCACCTATCAAAAATTGCTGTATCAACATCTTGTCCTCTGTTCACAGCATAATTATCACTTTCAGAGATAATGAACCTCATCAAGGTCTTCTTTTCTCATTTTCATTTATGAACAAGTTTGTCTACTGCCAGGACTCAATGAAACTAAAAAGAGAAAGAGAGGAGACAGCACTGTCAGACTCTTACAACACTGCCGAGAGAGAGTGACAGGATGGTTTTTAAAAGATCACTAATGCAAGTTGCCTGCCAAATACTCAGCTGAACCTTGAATGGGACCAGGTGTCTTGCTTTAAGATTAACAGAATTTTATAGCAAATTTAGAAGCATGTTAGAAATTAGAATTAATGACTAGAAAGTTTTCTGAGATCAGAAAAAAAAAAAAAGAAAAATCAACTTGACTATGCTTTGAAAAATTTCAGTGATTTTCTAGTAAAACTGATATTTTTGAATATTCCATGAGAGGGAATATAATCATTGCTACAAGTAAAAAAAACCTAGCAATTCATACATTTCAACAGTCTCTTTTTGAAATAGTTGGCACCAAGTGTTGGAAAGAAAGATGGAAGCAACATTGTAAGGAAAAACTGTAGCAAGAATTTCTCCAAAATCCATCATTTTTTCCTAAAAAATAAACCAAACCGGTAACATTTTCTTTAACCTTATTCCTTGATGGTTCGTATTAATGTCAATATTCTTTCTATACAGAATCAAAGAAGGTTAACCTATGATTTAGTACCATAATATGTGTAATCAATCGACTGATGGCTTGGTTTCACGAGCGAAGATTTGGGAAGGGTTTTAACCACGCTTACTACAAGCACGATGACCAAGGGCATGTGGGATATCCAAATCTGGTTGGAGAAGAGGGCTGCTTAGGCAATCAGGAAGTGTCCAACCACAGCTGTCAACTCCTGAGCTAACTCAAGCTACCCATGCGCTGGTCCGCCCACATGCAATGTTGGATCTGCAGCTTCCCATGCACCTTGTCACCTACCGTTTAGACCCTTGCCTGTCCATATAATACATGTCTTTCAGTGCATGTGACAAATGGTTATCTAAAGCTTCAAGTAATAAATCATCCTCCCACTTCTGAACTTCAGATCAAAGTATATGTTTTCATTTACTGTATTTTAAACCATAGGTACATTACCACTTTTCTAAAATAATTTTTTAATATAATAGTTATCTTTCATAGAGCTGCTACTTAATATTGTTTTGTCTGTTGGTGAATGTGAAGAATTAGGTGCTATACAAATTAGCTTCTTTGCACTAGAAATGGACCAATACTCCTTCTGTATCATATGCTTCTAAAGGATAAGACAGTCATCTAAAAAAAAAACAAAAAAACAAAAAAAAACCAAACAAACAAAAAACAAAAACAAAAACAAAATCACTTTTATGATGTTGTGGTTCCTATTACTGAATGGATCAGTTCTAGAACCAGGAACTTATTTTGAATGAATGGGGAAATTGACAAAGACCAGTATTAAGACCTCAATATTGTTTAAATAGTAGAACAGGCACCTAAATTCTTTTCAGAATACAAGCTGATATTCTTATCCTATTATTATTGTTATACTATGTTAGTAAAAAAACAAAAAAGAATTGATTCACCATAAGTTCATTTTTATAAGCTTCTGTGACCTGAGACCTTTTTCCACACAATTGTAATTCTGACATCTGGTCACACTAGTTTACAATTTATATTCCTTATATTCAGGATATAATATAAAATGTAGAAGTAAACAGTCTCAAACAAAATAAATAAAAAAAAAAAGGAACAATAAGCACTCAAGAAAAAAAGCAAAATCACAGAAATATAAAAGGAAAACTCATGTTTCTTTAATGAGTGCTCCTGATGGGGAAGAGAGCCAAAATAACCACTGACATTTTTGTGATTTTGACTTTTTAATTGCTTGTTTGTTCCTTTGGGAAGCTTGCTCAGGCATCCGTTAGATTTTTGTAGCTAAATAAAGTGGTTGTTCATGTACTTCAGATTGCATTTGTAACTATCTTCGTTTCTTATTCTTTTTTGAATTCACTTTGAGCTGCATTCTGATTTGAGCTATAATGCAATGTTGCAAAAACCTAAAGTAATTGAACATTAGAACTTGCATATAAAATTAGACTACAAAGAAACACAGAAGTAAACTAAATGCCATACTGAATTAGTCCAGTGGTCATTTCCTACAATAATTTATGTTTAGAAAAAATAGGACAAAGGAGCATGAGGAACTGAGTCAAGCAATCTGGAGTTGGCATATGTATTGCATAATCTTCACCCTTACAGAGGATACCTCATGCTTTATAATTTTTAGACACCGATTTCAGCATAAAAGCCATGAAAGGCAGAATTTAACTTCTGAAGTTTTATTTGTCATTAATTTGGAGGACTCTGACCTCACCATCATGTAAATACTCAATTCCTCTTTGAATCTTACTAAGTTTAACCTAAATAAATTATTGAAATCAGAAGTGTCACAATTTAACTACATTTTACATGAAAAAGTGCAGATAGCATTTCAGGTTTCCGCCTCTTAACTAAACTGAATGTCCCCATGTTCTTGTGTTATGAAACAAGGAGATAAGTATGCTGACTCCGCCTTGTCTATCATTGATTATATTGTAGATTTTCTTCATGTTCTCTCTTATTCATCTCTTTTCTAAATAACCTTTTTAACTTACTTTCATGTGGCATTTTCCCCCCCTAGCTTCAATTTTTTCTTGATCTTTTTTCATTTTAAAGCATCTTTTTAGAAAACAAAGTAACCAAAAGCCCAACTAAGACTGCAATATTAACTTATAGGCTGTTTCTCATTTAATACTTTCAACTCTACAGTTTCTTTATGACTGGGACTTTTGAGAAGAGAGTTTTATATTTTTCTTTCTTGTGTACTTTACCTTGCTTTTGGTAATATCACATTTATTCTGCTTGTCAAGTTACCTCTAGTCCTGATTAGTTACAGCTTTCTAGAGTCTTCACAGTTCTTTCTGGTCCTGATTAGCCTAAATAATTTAATATACTTTGCAAATTTATTGTCTCATTGCCAATTTTTTTCAGAGACAGCTCTTTTAAGAAACACAACTATAAATCATTTCTCACAATGAAAATTTTCTTCTCTTTTGTCTTTTAGGTAAATTTTTATCCATAAGAATACTTGGCCTTTCCATTCATGTTTACTTCATTTGTCAGACTCCTGACTGGAGTCTTGTCGTGGTTTAAACCCAGTCAGGTAGCTTGTTCACTCACTCCCAGTGAGTGGTGCCGAGCTGACAACAATCGAGGTCCGTGTCCGTCTCCCCCCCCCCCCCCCGCCTCCCCGCACCGGGGCTCTCCCCTTCCCCGCTCCCGGAGGAAGGGGGGAGGAGGATCGAGAGAGTGCAACTCCTACGGGTTGAGACAAAAACAGTCCAGCAACAAATCACCACCGCTACTATCAGCTAAAACAATGATAAGGGAAAATAACAAGGGAAGAGAATACGATACCACCGGCCAAAAAAAACGAGTTTCACCCGGAAGCCCCTGTCCTTCCGGGTAACTCCCAGTTACCCCTCACCCCGGGCATGACGTGCTGTGGTAGGGAATACCTCTCCGGCTAGCCCGGGTCAGGCGCCCCATCTCTGCTTCCTCACAGCCTCCCCTCCTCCCTGGCAGAGCATGAGCCTCACAAAGTCCTTGGCCAAACCAAAATATCCTTGTTCAGCTCTGTTCCCGACTGAAAGTCAAAACACTTGCACCAGTTAACACAAAGGAAAAACATTGAAAGAATTCCAGTCTTTGACAAGACTGTGAATGAATTATACCTAAGAAGTTCAACTAAACTTGTACATTGAAAGAATTTTGAAAGATTCAATTATGTGGGGGGGGGTTTGTTTGGTTGTTTTGATTTTTTCTTAGCCTGGTTTTCTCAGAAAATGGACATTCTCAGCCTTGTTCAAAATATATGAGTTAAGGTACAGGTTTGTGTGACTATAGACTTGTTAGTATCTTCTAATAACTTTTGAACCCAGAGGTAAATTGCCAGCAAATTTGAAGAGCTTTGGAGATGTTTCATCACTACAGATTTCATAAATGGAAATCATCAAGAAGAGACTAGATGTTTTATTAATATATCTACTGTAAGAGATAACACAGTGTGATGAACTCAACCCTTACCATCAGAGAAACCACACAGAGGAGATCTGTTGTCAATGTTTGAATCACAGGAGAAACTCCTGACAGTTTATGGCTTATTGGATATTTGTAAATCTACCTCTTGGTGAAAAAATCTCTCTACATTAATGTCTGGTATAGTACAGGCTTCAGTTAGTATAATTAGCTGAAATGAAAAATCATACACTCAGGGAAAAAAAATGTGGAAATCAGGCTTGATAGGCTCTGGTAATCCTCAGGCTACCTCTTATCTGATCATGTCCAGCCATCAGACAGATATCTTCCAGACCTTGCTCATTGTTTCTTTTTCAGTGTTTGTTTTTATAAAGTTTTTATAATGACATTGGTGTCGATATTCAGATATTTTTCTAGTATTTGCCATTAGCCGTGCAAGCTTTTTTTGATGTGGCACTAGACAGATTTATAAAATGTTTTACTTATTCAATAGTAATTTGTCCCTGGATTATTACTACTTAGATTCTGCTTTGTTCTGAATGATTCTTTCTCTAATTTGTATATTCCTTGGCTCTTAACATTTTTTAGCTTTTTAAAAAATTTATCATCCTCCAATATCCCATTTCTCTTTGCGTAATAGCAGGTCTGAAAAGAAGTTCAAAGGACACAAAAGAATTTACTACAGTGAATAACAGTGGAATAGTGACAGTAAGGAAATACTGAAGGAGGTTTTTTCTGGCTAACAAGGAAAATCTCTTGTTCAGCTTTCATGGCTGTTTTGGATTAAGCTTCTAGTGCAAACACTTTACTAGGATGCTGTGGTAGACATCTGTAATCTGACTGTATTTCACACTGACAAATATCCTATTTGTTGTTGGGATTCTTTTAGTTAAATACTGTAGTTTTTTTTCTTTGCAATTAAAAGCTGCAGTTCACTGGTCAGGTAACATCAGCTTTTAGGTTTACAGTGAAATACCTTTTTTTTTTCTGAATTATCAATGTAGAATTGGAAAACATTCCAGAAACAGAGATAATATAGTAACCATTTTTTTAACAACCTTCTGTTAAGCCTGTGACTATTTTTTTTTTATTTATTTATTTATTTCCACTAATGAAACAGATGTTCTGCCTTTCTAGTATGTAAGCACCAGTTAAAATTTACAGTAGCTTTCAGGGAAGGAATGGTGGGTTTCAAGATACCATTTATTTTTTTTTCTCCAACGTTTATAATGCAGTGCATAATTTCTCCAGTATATTTTACTTATATCACTGGAGGTGTTTGTTTAAGCATCCCAAACTGTTATGAAATTTTGCATATAGTTTTACTGAGCTTTTTACCTCTGATTGTAAATTGAATACAATGTTGTACAACACAACCTGAAGGGTTCTGATCTAGCCATTTCTACTTACAAGCAGAAGACTATCATCAGAAGAACAGATCTAATTATTTGTCAGGTTGTCAGAGTAGTAGGACAAGCATTTTTCTTTCTTTTTAAATGGGAGCTGTGTCTTTAAGTATGATGTCAATTTACCCAAAGCGACTCTTATACATGTAACAAGAAAAATGACAGCTTCAGTTAGATTTACAGACATTATGTAACCATTAATAGGAGCATAAAGAATTGGGTAGCTATTGATACTGGTTTCTACAGAGTTTTACCAACTTACTTTGGGGTTTTATTTACAGTTTGGTGAATATTGGCTGGTATTGAATATATGTTCTAACTTCTTGTAACCTGTCAATTACATTAGTGGAAAGAGCCATATTGCACAGGTGACGCTTATAACCATTTCTTTTATTAAATACTAACAATATGATTTTTATAACTCTTTTAATTTCATTTTGTTCCCTATCTTTTTCTCTGCTCATTAACTATAATTCTAATAATCACATATCTGCTCATAGCAGCTTGTGTTTCTTAATCCACCCATTGCTGCTCTGTACATTCCCTTGTTATCTGCAACTTTCCTTAGTTTGTTAAAACTGTCAGCCCAGTGTAAAACAAAGAGTTAGTAGTGAAGAGAGAAAGAAGCAGTGTTCCAGAGAAAACACTAAATGATATTAAGCAAGCAGCTATGAGTTCTGATTTTAGGACGGTAAATTAAGGATTGTGCAAAATTCCAGAATTGCTCAAAAATTCCAGATGAAGAACTGTCTGTGAAATGGACAACAAAGGGGAATAAACAGGAAAGTAACTGGAAAAACATGGAAACTTTGAGATGTATTACAGGGAAGAGAAAAAAAAAAAACTATGGAAGCACTTTTCTTAATAGCAAGCAGCTAATATTTTGTCTTTGACAAAAAAGCAAATGATAGACTGCAGGCAATCAGCAATAGGAGACAAAACAGTAACAAATTTAAAAAAAGGGATAAGTGCCAGGGCAAAAAAAAGAACCCTTTTTTGAGAGAATAAAGGCGTATAATCTGTGCTGCAAATAAAGGGGCTGGTTGTCATGGTGCCTCCTGATTATTGGAAGAGATACAGGTTCTGAATTTTCTTGGTATGAGACAAGATCCAGCCAGTAGATGATAGTCCTCAGAGGAGAAGAGTGAAATTAGCTTTCTTTGAGGAGACTGGTGAAATATCTTAGACCTTTCACACTAAACAGAAACGTGAAAAGTAGAGAAGCATTACTGAAGATTATGTATCATATGTTCCATGGTGTGCAGAACAGAGAGCTTGGGATTGTTTGTGATAGCGAAGGATTAGAGAGACTTTGGATTAGATGACCTCCAAACCAGAAAATAAGAAATACTCGTATGTAGTTTTTAAGTCAAATAAACAGGCATCAAATACACTTAAAAATAATTAAGAGGTGGGGGGGTGGAAGTCGGGGTGGGGGGGGAGGCGCATAGGGGAAAGAGGAGAAAAACTTCTTAATTAATGCATGCAGTACAATGTTCTAATGCATGAGGAAGAGTTGATGTGAAATATAAGTAGTAAGACTTAGCATATTAGTACATTTGCATAAATGCAAGAAAAAATGGATATAAAAATGTCAGAGATCATTCCCTAGTGATATTAGTAGAATCCTTAAAACCTGCTCTTGCACAAAGTAAAAAGCTTAGCAGACTTTCAGTATGCTCTGATATCTACAGTATCAATGTTTACAGAATTATCACAATACTTTTTCATTAGAAGCGAATACAATAGTTACTGTTCTATAAATAAGAGTACAAAACATAAAAGAAAATTGGTTGTGGAACTGTTTTATTCTCTCCATGTTAGAAGAATAGCTGAAGCAAATATTTCCAAGACCATCCCACAATGCAATCTAAATCAGAGAATATTGCACTTAACTCCCTAAGGGTTTTCTGTGGAAAAAAATAGGTCTAAAACCCCTTACAAATTATGTTTTGAAGTTTTAATTTTAAGATAAACACTGCTATCTAGGAATTATTTGATTCATTTCTATTTTGCAGCATGCCATCTCTTCACCATTTCTTTGATAAACCAATGTGCAGTCATGTCACAATGGCTGTGATGCAGCTTCCGCTTTCACAGGGCTTCCTCCATCCCACCCACAAGCAGCAGCTAACTGAACAGTTGCAACAGCTAAGTGAAAACTTCCTCTACAAGTGAAAACTTTCCCTTATGAATCTGCAAGCATTTGAACGAACATTTTGGATGTCCTCTCAAAAATGTCTCTGTGCATTGATGTCAACATCAAAAAACAGTGAACGCACTAGCTCCTCCCAAAGCACATGGCAGACATTGACTCAAAGGATCAAATAGAGCCTGGGAATCAGATTGCAGAGGAGCTTCTCTTTCCTGCCTTGGGAAACACTGAATAAAATTTCTTTGAAAGTGCAAAAAGTGCAGTGTAATTAGCTGAACGGCTACTTACAATACTCAACAACAAAGTTACAAATTTTGCTTTAAAACTCATGATCTCTCATTCTGCTTTCTGATTTCTTTTTTTTATCATGGCCTACTTTTTTCTGAGTAGCAGTCTTTTATTTGTCTGGTCACACCTTATACATTATGTTTTCTTCTCAGGATGAATCTGGGAAGCAAGAAGGCTTCAGTTTGTCATGTCCTGGTTGCTGCATGTCTTGCCAAACACAACTTTCTAGAAAAAAAAAGGGAAGAGATTGGCTCCTTTGTGGGAGAGGATGGAAATATTCAGGGGATGATGTTCAGAATGCAGATTGAGGTAGGCAAAGGTAGCTCTTAAGAACATTTGAGCTTGGGAGACAGCTGAGCAGAGAGTAAATACAAAGTTATCCCTCCAGGGTGACAGAGAAACAGTATGGTTTGTTACAGCCCAAGAAGGCAGTAAAGGCTGCTGAAAGAAAACAACTCTAAATGAAAGGTACTCCTCCTCAAGGGCATGGCAGGCAACAGGAGTTAGATTTGTTTCCAAGTCCCCTCCTTTCCCTATTCACATTCTATTTTCTCTCTCCTAAAAAAAAAAAAAGTTTCTCCTTCCAGTTAAAAGTTCCAATAAAAGCAGGTTTATAAAAGCTGTTTGGTCTTGTTGGAAAGCTCACATAAAAGAAATAATATAGGCAGAACTGCCTGCCTGGCTGGTTTGGGATGTGCAAGAGCCTCGGTGCTTATTCACTTTCTGGTTAACATTAAAAAGAGAAGTTATCATTCTTCATTAAATTATCCATGTGTTAAACTTCTTATTTCTGTATCTCACTTTGAACTGTATTACTCATGTGGAGCAGAACCATCCTGGGAGGATGCCAGATAAAATTTCCAAGATGTCAATAGCTGGAGGCACCATGGCCATATAATGCAAGAGAGTTCTTTCGCTCCGTTTCCCCTGACATATCCTTTACATGCAATTATTCCATTGGATGCCTCTGTTTGTGCAAAGGAAGAGAGTTAGTTTTAATCCAGCCAAATTCTAGCTCGTACAAAGCTAAAATCCTTTCTGGACAAGTTGCAATGCTGTCAGTATGTGCACGCTTCCCTCTTTTTCCCCTTAAGTATTACAGATTCCGATGGATGTAAACCAGATGATGTGCCATGAGCTTAAGCAGAAGCTTGCTTGAGAGGACTGGAGACAGTGCTCTTGCACAAATACCTCCATACAAAGGGTAAAATGTGCATTTGTTCCTTTCCATCCCATCCCTACTACTCTATATGCTGAAAGCAGTCACAGTATCTTTTCTCTTGGAAAATACAAAACTTCTCTTTCCAGATTTTTTTGTGAAACAATTCTCTCGGTATGCCACTTATTTTTATTAATAAATGGGAAAAATCCATAAAGTATGGAATACATCATGCAAACATACAGGCACAACTTTCTTTTATCTCTAAGGCTGGACATTAGAGATGGTAGAACAGTTTTTCCTTCCTCACTAAGATACAGGGTATTTAAAACAAGTTTCTCACCTACTATTCTCATTGCTTTAGGGAATACTAAACAGGCTTGCAGGTCTTTTTACTGATTGTTGTCAACTCCACTTAGCACTTTGTTATATTAGTATACATTAATTTGTGATTTTATTATTGTTGCAGGGCATATACACATCATTATCTTTCAGGGCCGTGGCTCATCATTATGGTGATTATTCAAGAACGATGTGTTGATGGCTTTAATGGGCCAATAATCCAGTAATGAAGGCTCTGTAATGGAATTCAGTACTGTTATGAAATTATTGAGTACTCTATAGTGATATGATTTGCAGAGCTGTAAAGCTGTGCAAGTAGAATAATCTGTTAATACATCTTCTTGCAGCTTTTCAGAGTTGTTATCTATTGTGCTTGTTTAAAAATGCTACCTTACACACGTGATGTTTTCTTCAGCTATTGGGTACTATTTTTGACAATATGACTATTTGTGTACTATTTCATTAGTTCTCTGCAACCAGATTTTTAGAAAACCATTGTTTTATATAAAAGTCATGAAACAAAAAAAATACAGGAAGAAAATAAGACTTCCTATAATGAAAATAATTTTTTATTTTTTGCCAAAGAACTTATGAAATGGACATTCCTTGTATCTTTATGAAAATGAGAACAAATAATATGGGAGGATGAAAAATTAATATACCTTTTATAACTTTGAAATTTTGGTTAATGGTAAAACCAGGTAAGTGTGAAGCTTACAGTAGTTCAGTCCTCTTTTCCTTCAGCCCCATTTTACTATCTGCTGCATAGATATGTGTTTTTTGACTGCATGAAGCAACTATTTCACTAAATCGGATAGATAATGATAAAAAATATCATTGCACAAGTTTATTATATTGTTGTATATGTATCTGTACATGTGTGTACATTTGTGTAGTTTACATGCCTGTATGCATTTTGGCATTGCTCTGACAATGTAAAAAAGTAATACTTTAATTTCTCTCATCAATGCTTATGTAGTTTTCTGTGAGCAACAAAAAAAATAGACTTTCTTTTTTCTGCATCCCACTTTCAGAAAAAACAATACAGTATGAATAATTATTGTCGTTTGCAACCATATGATCCTGAGAATCTTCTGAGGTAGAAGCAAAGAAACCTTTTTTTTTAAGAACACTGGCATCACAAACATGAAGCAAAACAAAGTAAATCTACTTGTGAGTAGATTTAATATTCAAGTCTAATAAAGATACAATTTTAGAAATATCTGTGGTACCACACAAGGATGAATGCTGCAGGAATCAAAGATAACAACTTAGACCAATTAAGTATACACAAAATGTTTTTCCGATGAACTGTCTAAAGAATTGCTGCTGACAGAGCAGTTATCACAATGTCTTTACTGCTTCTAAGCACAGCTCTCATGACTTTCTTTACATGTATCTGCACAAGATTATAAGCAATCACAGGCTGATCTCACTGAGCAATTTTTCTCATATTCATGTCCCTTCCCTGACTTAGAAAATACTCTCTTGATGCTCACCTTGATCTATGAATACAAAAACTTTCTTTTGGAATCATCATGGGTTAGATGAGGTGCATGTAAGTCATTGTAACCAATGAGAGCTACTTGTTTGAGTGAATATACAATGGCAATACCCAGTTTCTTTTCTCCCTATACTATGCACTATATACTATGCATTTTTTTTGCTACAGTTTTTGGATATGCAAACCTGAGAAAACTCAAGATAATCTAGTGCCCAAATAGGAGTTTTACATCTTTTTAAATTCATTCAGTGTTTTGTAACTTTGTTTAGCAAAGAAATTTACTCTAATTGTTTACTCACTACAAGTTTTATTCATCATCTAATTATATTTAACTAAGAACTTAGCATCTGATTTTAAATCACACATGATTTAGTTTGCATTGCCTTCAGTGGGTATTAAATTTCAAATCCTTGTTTTAATATTTTGGGAAGCTGAGGTAAAACCTGAATACAAGGTAATAACAAGTGATGGGTAATGGGTACAAACTGGAACACAAGAGGTTCCACTTAAACTTGAGAAGAAACTTCTTCTCAGTGAGGGTGACGGAACACTGGAACAGGCTGCCCAGGGAGGTTGTGGAGTCTCCTTCCCTGGAGACATTCAAAACCCGCCTGGACACATTCCTGTGTAACACTATCTAGGTGTTCCTGCTCTGGCAGGGGGATTGGACTAGATGATCTTTCGAGGTCCCTTCCAATCTCTAGCATACTGTGATACTGTGATGGTCATGATATTATCTTAGTGAAGTAAATTAAAGTAATTCCAGAATCAATCTGATAATATGGGAAAGAATTTCAGTTTACTAGTTTGACAGCACTGGAAAACTTTGTATGAGGTGATCTGAAAGAAGAGTACAAATATGATCACAGTTATTAGTTTGAATAAAAGCTGCAAGTTTCTTTGATGCTATTCACGGCTCTTTTTGATTTTCAGTACTAAGGTAGTACAACAAAATAATTTAAAATTTGACACTAGTCTGCAGTTATTTGGTGTTTTCATGGCTACCTTTTGATAGTTTTTTTCATATGCTTCAAAGAGAAAATGACATCAATGAGGTAAAGCTCATCACATTAAATCTTGTATCAGCAATACTGGAACTTGCCTTGTTTCATGATAAACTGAGAAGAAAATTATTTTTAAAAATACATAAATAGTGTAAATTGTGACAACCTGCTAAAGGAATAAGATGGTATAGATCAAATTTTTGTGTACCATATCATTTACATGCTACAGTTGGAAGGTATGTGGAGGGATTTTTTTTCCCCACTGCTGTTACTTCCTAGAGCACAGTACATGCTATGCAATATACGCATCATACCAAACTGAATACCAACTACAAAAGATTACAAGGCTGGAGTAAGCATATCTGGGAAGTTCTGAGTTTTGCTTATTTTTTTTTCAGACAGAGCTGAGATAGAACTGAAAATGAGAAAATCTGTACACCAAGGTCATATAACACTTTTTACTTCCTGGAGGCAGATGACTATAATAAAAGAGAAGTAAATAAGTCATTTGAGTAGACTGCTGAAGATATGATCGAGTCACTATTATCAACATTTAGGATGAATAATATAAAATTATATGCACTCAGAAAAAAGGACGCTGATTGTGTGGTACACTGAGTATACAATATAGCACTGATTTAGAAAAACAAATAATAGAAAGTATAAATAGAAAAACATCCAGAATGTTGCAGAAATGGGCACATACAGGATAGAGAAAGAAGTAAATGTTTTTCTGTGTGAAGGCATGCTCTCTGTGTAAGAGGAAGTGGAAGCGTCCTCACGTCTCTAGGCAGACATGTTTTCTTATTGTTTTTTCTTCATGTACCTCAAGTAGAAATGTCTCTGATGAGATAGGGCCTGAATCTCTAACCCCCACATATCAGTTGTCTTTGTAAAAGACAAACTTGTCTAATCTGTCTGTTGAGATTCTAGTAGAAGGCACAGGTCCTGAGATGAATACAGAAGACCGCCAGCCTGAGAGATTAAGGAAGCTCTGTGGTCGGTAGAATGTAAGCTATCTTCAGGATCCACATTCAGATATAGTTATGGAACTTTGATACCATGAAATAAGAAGATTTTAACTCCAAACATTACTATATTTTATATTATCTTGTACAACACTACTAGATTTAGATTTAGAAAGGATTATCTGTAAAAGAAGTTTCTTTCCTTGTTTTTCTTGTTATTTTTAGTGAACTTGTAGTTGACTTGTGCTTTTATTGATTGAAAAATGAACAGAATTTACCATGTTTACAAGAAATAGTGAGCAATCAATGGGCAGAAGACAAGTTTTCACTGAATAAACATACATTTCTATAGTAAAAGGCCAGGGGGAAAAAAAAAAAAGAAAGAAGACTGAGTTACTATTTCTTTAATCTATAATTCCTTTTGATGAAATCTCATACCAGAATACTCTGACTTGATCTCTTGGAACCTGTAAGGAAATTTCTCTATATGGGTGATTCAAAGAGATCATTATTAATCTCCGTTGTTCGGTCTGTCAGAACAGAAAGGAATCCTAAAAATGTTCAATACATAGCATTCATCTGACACTGAAAGAAAGGGAATAGATGTTTGTACTTCATGTTCACAAAACCACTTTCTGTGCATCTGTGTGAATATTATTAAATTCAATTTAAGTTTTTATTTCTGTCAACTTCTCCATATACATTAATTTACAGGCAGGTGATACATAATGAGTAGTGGAATAGGAATTTTTTTTTTTATCTTTAAGTTGTGGTCCACATGTGCACAAAATTTCCAGACTGAGTCAAAAGTACCAAAAACCTAAAATCTCTGTCAGTAAATATTCATGTCAGCTGGCATAACACCCATAGCTAATAAAAGTATTTCTGAAATCTGGTCCAAATTGGCTACCAGTAGGCTTACATGCCCCCAGGGGTTTTGCAAGATAAAAAAGAGTGGTTTAGGTAGCCTGAGAAACAAGTCAGTAAATAGTACTGTTGAAGAGCTACATCTGTAGATTACATTAAATCGTCAACATTAGCATGTTACAATTCATCCCACACCTCTCATTCTGTTGTTATATCAGGTGGTTAGTTAATTTTTATTTTGCCCCATGGTGTGATTTAAACCCAGTGGGTAGCTGAGCACCACTTCTCCCTGGTCAGATGGGGTGAGATTCAGAAGTGTAAAAGTGAGAAAACTCCTGGATCGAGATAAAGCCAATTTAAGAGGTAACACAAAAGCTGCATATATATGCAAAGCAAAACAAGGAATTCATTCATCACTTCCCATTGGCAGGCAGGTGTCCAGCCATCTCCAGGAAAGCAGGGCTCCATCACACAAGGTTATTTGGGAAGACAAATACCTTAACTCTGAATGTCCCACCTTCCTTTCTCTTCCTCCAACTCTATAAGCTGAGCATGACACCATATGGTATGGAATATACCTTTAGTCAGTTGGGGTCAGCTGTCCCAGCTGTGTCTCCTCGCAGCTTCTGGTGCACCCACAGCCCACTCACGGGTGGGGTGGGATGAGGAGGAGAAAAGGCCTTGACACTGTGTAAGCACTGATCAGTAGTAACTATAATTACACGTGACATCCCCGTGTTATACCTGTTTCCAGCACAAATCCAAAACCTCATACTAGGTACTATGAAGACAATTAACTCTATCCCAGCCAAAACCAGCACAATCCACCATCAGGATTGATTTCTGTAGCAAGATTATGAGCCTTTAGCAGATCTTAACTGCATATGAAAAAATTTCTTCTGGAATATGCCTTGTTAAGTATTTCAGCCACTGCATTAAGATATTCAGCAGTATGACTTGTGTTATACTGGAGTTGGTGCTGCATAAGGCTGTCCTTCCCCTTCTGACTGATGGTATATTTTCTCCTATTCTTCACAGAAAGAGTAGCCACTGTTCTGGGTGGCAGGTGCGCTTTGTTTTCATAGCTTTTTCAGATTCTTCCTAAGAGACATAGCAAAACATTGATCTGTTCCATTGGCTATTGACGCGGGAGTCGTGGACAACGCAGAGACGATCAATGTGATCAAGCAATTGCCATTTATTGAGTGTCAGACATGATCTTTTATACACAAATCCACACATTGATTACACGCTGATTGGTTAACATGCCTTGCCAACAAGCTTCTGATTAGGTTTTACACAAAATTGCTTAATACAAGTTACAACAGTTACCTATGTTTAGCACTAACCTCAACATCCATACACTGCAGTTTTACATCCTGTTTTTTGTTCTTAACATTGTTAACGTTGCAATTTCATCGCTAACGTTGCAATTTCATTTCCTCCACTGCTATCTCTGGCTAACCTCCCCTCTGGCCTAGTATTTTTCCAGTTACAGAGAAGCTCTACTTATGCTAACTGAAACTCTACTTATGCTAACTGAGAAGCCTGACTCATGCTAACTGAATCCATACAAAACATTGGGTATTTCAGCACTCAAGAAAAACAGTCCTCCTGCCTAAAGCACTTCTTCATGTACTCAAAAAAAGTACCTTGTTTAAAACAGATAGAAAATACTCCCAAGGCTGACATACAGCTTAGCCCAACTCTGCATTGTGCAAAAGCCTCAGATAGGCTGCCACAGATGTGAGCACTGCTACAGTGCAGTACAGGG